GTGGGAATACAAAACCGATAGCGAGGTTAAATTTTGAACGTACCGCGTCTCAAGGTCTCAAGGTCAATGGCGACTGGTCCGGGACGCAGACCTTCGTCGACAGTATTTTTATTTGTGAGGTACCACTTTAAACGGAAGATCGTGAGTTGGGTGAAGAGTTTTGCTGACACCATCGAATCGAACCCAGACATGAGTGCAGTGGGACAGATCCTTATCAACAAACACGCGTCATGACTGCGGATGCGATTGAGTGGCTTTCAGTTTTCCTATATGAAACCGGAAGTATGAGACACAGTTCTCTATGTCTGTAAACTCCTCTGGCGTGGTAGGAGAATCATAATCCCCGGGCAGACGCAAAGTAGTTCCAGTGCAGTGCACTTAAGATCCTCTTTGAGAGAATTGCGAATGCCAAGAACTATCGGTAGAGTTTCATCCACCGGTAGTGGGGAGAAAAAGGATAGAGCCGCCTTGAGCTGACGGTGGAATTTCTCGACCAAACCGTTTCACGTAGAAGGAAAGGCGATGGTGTGCACATGACGATAACCAAGACATACGGTCAAAGTATTCAATAATGAAGATTCAAACTGTGGTCCGCGGTCGGTGGTAATGGTTGCTGGGCAACCAAACTGAGCAACCCACCGTTCAAGAAAATCTTTCACAAAGGTGTCAGCGTCCACGTTGAAAATCGGAATTGCTTCCGGCAAACAGGTAAAACGGTCGATGCAAGTGAGAAGACAGACAAAACCGTTTGAGGGCTGAAGGAGCCCTACGATATCTAGATGAACGTGGCTAAACCTAGCACCAGACGATGCAAAACAACCGATTGGGGTTTATGTGCGGCGATGCACCTTGGCCTTTCGACAGGCCTCGCAGGTGCGAGCTCAAGAGTGGACGTCTTTATTCATATACGGCCAAACGTGCCGTTGACTAATTTATTTTAGAGTGGCACGGACTTCAGAGTTTGATAACCCGTGTAGAGCGTCGAACACCGGTCTTCGCATAGGTTCAGGGACCAGGGGTCTAAATGAATGAAACCGTCCGATATGGCCAAGGGAAACCTAAGAAACTCTAGAGACGATGAAGGGTCCAGAGGTGGGGCAGCTGGCTCAAGAGCCGCCATACGCTCTAGGTCAATGAATGGTAACTCCCAAACTAAGTTGAATCGTGACAACGACGTTTGCAGCGCCAGAAATATGTCTTATATTAGTTATGAGCTGAGAGACATAGTCTAACTGGTGGACCTCTCGGGGTGAATAATTATTATTTGATTTCAGAGCAAAATTAAGAGGTTTGTGTTCGGTGAAAATAGTGAATTCATGTCCTAAAAGGGCGTGTCGGAAGTGACTTACAGCAAGATATATAACTAACAGCTCACGGCCGAATGTGCTATAGCGCTGTGCGGCTTTCGAGAACCAATGGGAGAAGAAGCCTAAAGGTTTCCACTCATTATCAACGAGTTGTTGAAGGATAGCATTTGCAGCAAACCGAGAAGCACCAACGGCCAGGCAAATAGGTGCGTCAGGAGATTGGTGAGCTAGAAGTGTAACCTGCGAAAGTGCCTCCTTAACGGCATTCAATGCCTGGAGAGCAGCGTCGTTGAAAGTCACCGATTTAGGGTTTCCGCGGAGTAAATTGGTCATGGGCTAACAGATCCTAGCACAACGCGGGATAAAACGACGGTAAAAATAAACTAATCCTAGAAAACGCCGCAAGTCGTGAGCCATAGTGCAGACGGCGAAACGACGTATGTCCTCAATCTTGGGTTCTAAAGGACGATTACTACTCTGATCTATGGTATACCCAAAAAAGTATGGAAGGTGCGGCCGAAATCACACTTGTCTGGGTTGATAGTGATGCTATGAAGACGGATCCTATCGAAGACAGGACGAATGGTGTCTTGAGAAAGTACCGCGCCTAGCAACTAGAATGGCAGCAGGCGAGAAAGATAAGGGATACCTCCAACAACTGAGGGACTTGTACCTGTACTCCCTGGCCTGCAGACGCATGTGGGGCAACCTTATAGAGACATTTAAGATTTTCAAAGGGCTTTCGGGTCTAAAGTTCCAAAACATATTCTCGTTTTTTCCTGCCAGGGGCACGAGGGGTCATCAACTTAGATTGGAAAGAAGTCATTGTAGACTAAATTTGCGAGCTAGGTTCTTCACAAACAGTTATACCACTGTGGAATAAATTACCTGAAACAGTGGTTAACTGTATTAATGTCGAATTTTTCAAGAGAAGGCTAGACGAATCCTGGGAAGTGGTATTTCCCGAAGTTGAGTGCTGCAAGTTAATCGTCAGGCTTTACATTCCGAAACACTGTAAGGGATCTGATACGGCACACTAACATTCTGCCTTTCAGAAACTGCTATTGACTCGAGGTGTCGGAAGCCAACGAAACCGCCGACAACACAAAAAACTGGACGCGCGATGGGCAACAGCCACAATTCATCCTGTGAGAACTGAACTGAAATGAACTGAACAAGATGTAACTTAGTAAGATGTTTAGCTTCATTGATACTGACAATGAGAATAACATCAAGGTAGGTGAACACAAAGTCTAGACCTGGAAAACATTGTCAATGAAGCATTGAAAGGTTTGAGAAGCATTTCGCAAGCCAAAGGTCATGCGAAGAAATTCGAAGAGACCAAACGGCGTGATCACCGCGGTCTTTGGGATGTCATCAGGGTCAACTGGTATCTGGTGGTAAGCACGCAACAAATCGAGTTTAGAGAAGATAGTTTTGTCATGTAGGCAAACTGTGAAGTCATGGATGTGCGGGATAGAGTAGCGGTCAGGGGTGGTACCCTGTAAAGAGCGCGAAAATCACCGCACGGATACCAATCTGTCGAGTCCTTTCTGGGGACCATGTGAAGGGGCAAAGCCCAGCTGCTGTCGGATGGTCGATTGGTTCCGGCTTGGAGGAGCCGGTCAAATTCTGCCTTCACGACACGGAGTTTATCCGGCGCGAGACGACGAGCACGTGAGAAGACAGCTTCTTCGGCCGAAATGCTGACGGGACAACCAGGTAGCTTAACTACCGCTATGTTTTTCCTTCTTACTTAAGGACCCTTCTCCACCGGACACAATCAAGTGTACCGTCGAGATTTAGCATTTCTCGCCATTATTTTGTGATAACTATCTTACAGTTTCTTAGTTAGATATAGCAACTTAGATATTTCTAGGATTAAGTTTTGCTTTTACTATTATCGTACTTTTAATGAGCTCGAAAAGCGTGCATCGACACAACTCCCCACGGTGAGCTCTGTATCGCACGCTTCCGTTGCATTGACCAGATCGACTTTCAGGTTTCCGCTGCCGTTGCTTAAATAACAGCCTAGGCCTAGCCAACCTTACTTCCAACTTTTCGGAAGATTCAGAATATATCGTTTTCCGTAAACCCAATCTTTGGTTCTGTTTCCTTTTTGGGACGGATATTCAAAACGAACGGGAGCAAACATTAGTGACAGGTTCTGACGAACATCAGCAACCATGGAGTCTCTAAAGGACCGTACATACACCCTTCGTCAGCCTCTGAACCCATGGTTCACGAAGCAAGTTTTCGTCGAACTTAAAACCAGCGAGTTCTTGCTGCTCTTGCGAATGCTCTAAACAGCCAATGCCTGCAACCATGCGAAAGCATACATGCGGAACAAGCAGACAGAAGGTGGTGACAACTCTCGAGCATGTTACACTGTCGGTCTCAAGCCACTGCAGTACTGTCTGCCTAAATGAGAAGAGCACTCATGCATCCGGACACACTCACATCGAACATTCACCTACACAACAAAATCTTAGTCGCGTTATGTGGTCTGGGGTAACCTGTCGGTCTCGTGCCAAATGAGCTTTGATTGTGGTTCTGTTACACTAAGGCCGGAGATCCCCTCCACCCCTTCTATCTACCTAGCGTACTGTTTTTCTTTTCTCTTGTACTCCGACTGCGGGCTGGATGATTGCGTGGTTTGGTTGTGCGTCGTGGCTATCTGGAACAGTATCTGTGACGATTAGTGCCATTAGAACACTGCGATGCGTGTGGCAGCAAGTGCTTTACGAACTGGGGTGACGCACTGTTGCCTATTGCTTACGTACGGGGGCAGGAAAAAACGTCACCTAACTGTCTCTCGTTTTGGACACGATTAAGTACAGAGTCACAGACAACTATTCCAAGGATCTCCGTCGGTCACTGATCAGTAAACTTACCACCCAAACCCGAGCTACTCTAAAAATTCCGTTTCCAAGCCCCTTAATTCCTGTGAATATATTTGAATCCGTGACATTGGACATTGGAACTGAATAGCACTGAATTTTTAATATTCTGAGGTTCAGAAAAAAATTATGTGAACGTTTCTCAGGTCTAAGATTCTCGCCTGAAACACAAAAGTCCTTGTTTGAGAACAGAATTGAGCTGATCTTAAATAGTAAATCTTTTGTTTTAGTTTGCTAACTGGACGCGCGGTTTCACTTGCGTGTGTGAATTCAGGCATGGTGAGTGTTCTGTTCGTTTGTCTCAAATTTTTATAAAATAAAGTCGCATAGAAAGTTTTCTGCGCCACGTCATGGGTCATTGGGTTTTACCCCCAAGAAGAGAAGTAGACGAATTCGTGGCAAATGCAAGGCTTTCCCTAAAGACAGGCGTTCATTACCCCCCCACTTAACGGCATTCCTGGGTTATAAGGCTGGAATGACGCACGTCGTCCGAGAGGTTGACCGTCCGGGCTCAAAGGTTCACAAACGCGAGATTGTTGAACCGGTTACTATTTTGGAGTGTCCTCCGATGGTTATTGTCGGTATGGTTGGTTATGCTCCAACAGCCCGTGGGCTCCGCACGTTTAAGACTGTGTGGGCCGAACACCTCACCGAGGAGTGCCGTCGTCGTTTCTACAAAGACTGGTGCAAATCCAAGAGGAAGGCATTTACGAAAGCCTCCAAAAAGTGGGCTGACGAAGCAGGTCTAAAAGAGATAAACCGTGACCTTCGGAAAATCAAGAAATACTGTACCGTCGTCCGGGCGATCGCCCACACTCAGGTAATCCGGTCTTGTAATTGATGTCTAAAATATTTAGATGCGTCTGATGAAGCACCGTCAGAAGAAGGCCCACATCATGGAAATTCAGGTGAACGGTGGAACTGTGGCTCAAAAGGTTGATTGGATCAGACAACATTTTGAGAAACAAGTCCCTATCATGAATGTGTTTGCACAGGATGAGATGATAGACGTAATTGGAGTAACCAAAGGTAAAGGATTCAAGGGTGTGACATCCAGATGGCACACGAAGAAGCTACCGCGTAAGACCCACAAGGGTCTACGTAAAGTAGCCTGCATTGGATCTTGGCATCCTGCCCGCGTCGGTTCAACTGTTGCCCGAGCCGGTCAAAAGGGTTACTTCCACCGCACTGAACTAAATAAGAAGATCTATCGTATTGGTCTCGGTAAGTTTGGTCCTTCAGTGACTAATGATTCACAGGTGTGCAAGCCCAGCTGGAGGCGGCCAAGGCAGAGGCTGCCAAGGAGGATAACAAAGATAAGGCGGCACTGATCAAACCCAAAGGAAACGCTTCAACAGAATTCGATTTGACAGCCAAAAATATAACACCAATGGGCGGTTTCCCTCATTATGGTGAGGTCCGAAATGACTACGTAATGATCAAGGGGTGTTGCATGGGCCCGAAAAAACGAGTAATAACGCTGCGGAAGACCATCCTCGCCCAAACGAACCGCAAAGCAAAAGAGAAGATATGCCTAAAGTTCATCGACACTTCATCCAAATTCGGTCATGGTCGCTTCCAGACCAGAGCAGAGAAGAAGGCTGTTATGGTAAGCTCGTGTTCCATCCGACGTAACGACTACCAATCTTTAGGGACCACTGAAAAGCGATCACGAACGTGGAAAAGTTGCTGCCTGATATGCAAAATAAATGCAGAATACGGACATTGGATCTTCTATATACTTGGTGTTATTTGTTTCGGGTGCATGATGGTATGTCACGTTGTTTTCGGGTGCGACTGGGTAGTTCGTCTCCTTCCGCTTCATGAATACTCGAATCTCGTGAGCTTCTGCCTAGGTTGAGGTTTGGCTATTTGTAGTTGAGTAATTAGAGTAGATAAAGTTGAGCTTTGATTTTCCTTAACATTGTACACCATGTAATGTCCAATCGATCGCCAATGCTGTACACTGGACGTTTATCTTCATCGTTTGTCGTCAAGCTCCTAGATATGAAGCTGCGGTTTTAGCTACGCTTTGTTAGCCAGTTGCTTACCGGAAACCGTCGAGGTTTAAGTAGCAACCGAAACCATTCAACGTCAAGTCGTATTGTCATGCCTTGAATCTGGTTATAATGTTCACACCGTAATACAACGAACCTGATTCGTCGACGCGAACTTGTGACTCCCCCAAAGATGGAAGAACCAAAGGGTTCGATAGCTTAATTCCGACGGATACGGTTACAATGATTTGGTGCTTACATTCTTGCATGGTCGCAGTATGCTCAAAGGATCGCGGTTTGTCTGGAACTAGATGAGTGAACAGCGGCTTATTTGTTGTATGACCTGGCGTCCATTCCCAAACACGATTTGAATATTTTTACAGCGTGCTTGCATTATTGAACGTATATCCTGCAGACGGAGTCGCGTTTTGTTGCACGCGGATAAGTGAACATACGGATATATGCACGCTGTCGTTAGCCGTCAGTGTTCTAAAGGTCACACGGGATAGCCAACTCGATGTTAGGCGAGGATTATGTACTAGAGTGCATGTGCTCGATGTACTGGAGCGGGCATTTACACAAGGACTCGTGGGCGTTAGTGCGTATATGTTAATCTTGCGCGTAACGAACATGTTCAGGTATCTCAGGCGAGACCATTAATACCCGACACCAACTGTTGACCATTTAGTGGCTTGGCCCAGACCTAGACTGCAGAGTTTCCGTATGTTTATTTTCCGAAACAACCTGGTTGTGGACGCTGATGCATGACGTGGTTCACCTTCGTCAACGCCACGGTTGATCAGTGGTGCTAATTGGCTCATTGGCAACCAAAATAAAATATGCAGTGTTGAGAGCTACAAAACTTCGTAAACAAAACAACAGTTTGGATGCTTGATTGGCTGGAAGTCACATCTCGCATTGTATATACTGAAGGCTGTTCTGAACATGGTTTTGTGGCTACTGTCAATGGCGAATCCGTGATCTATCCCTACAATATTCCCTATGCCCCTTTTCATGGCTTCCTTTGAAAAAACGTGATCGTAGTATGTTTTGTGTCTTTGTTCGATGCTCCTACCCAGGTTCGTTTCGTATTGCAAGTGGCCTACTCCTTGCGCCCGTCATGAGACTGCACAGAAAGGACCGGTATAGAATAGTTCCCGCTTTAGCACCGCACTGGCAACAAAATAATTTGTAAGAGCACCCTCAGCAGTCTGCCAAAGGGCACAGTCCCGATCTCTTTTGTTCTTGATTTACTTTCACGAGGTGGCTGGTATCTCGATTATCTAGTCTACATTTTCGTAGACAGTCTCAAACCACTAGTGACGCCAGGTTAAAATATGCAGGAGGATTTGAGTGGGATCTGCAAATGGGTGATGCAGTTAATGCTAGGGAATTGCCAATTTCATTTGTGTGCGTATGAGTCGATCGACTTAATTATCTAGCGACACCCGATGCCGCGAAGCGATCTCAGCAGCCCACATAGAAACAATAGGAGGCAAAATGAGGGACTAGAACAAAGCACCAATTGAGCTTAAAATGCTGCACCGTCACACGGTTTGTTAGATGACAAAGGTGAGTGTGGAAGCAACATTCAGTAAAACGAGCGTAACGCAAAACGAACAATATTCACTACTGAGGCTCCCCAACAAAGGTAAAAGCACAGGCGACGCGTTGACCCGGTTTTCTTGGGGTTCAGGTGACGCTCCTCACCCCGCCCGGTGGTGCGCAGTGAATGAACGGACAGGGTACTGGCATTCTGCACACCGCTTGTCGTATTGTGGGTTGTCGCTGACTGACTAAACTCGGGGTAGGCCTTTGGGCCTATGTTTGTGCATTTGTTGACGACTCGATTCCGTGTTTCTTTCTGTTGTCTGGTCTCTTCTGTTCGCTCTATTGTCCTGTGGGAGTCTCTTGGATGATGAAAAATGACCAGTGGGGTGGAAAAGCAGTCAGCCCTCGATCGACTTTTCTGAGTACAATCCATCTAACTTATCCAAACGTCACGCGAGTTCCCCGTTTTCAAGGTTCATCTAAAAGTCCGTTCTGTCGATCTACTTTAATTTCGAGCCTCACGCGTTGTCCCGGGTCGATTTCCCATTGTGGCTCAAGCGTTTCTTTATACGCAACTTCTTAGCAAGCTCTATTGGCGCAATGTTCGATTGCTGCAGTGCCGTATGGGGTGGAGCTACGTCTTCCTTTCTTAACCAGGTTTGGCACAAGGCTGTGCGGTTGATGAACGAACTGTTTCAGTAGTCCTTAATAGACAAGTCAAAGATACCAGTTGATCGAGATCAAGATAGTGATGGATGGTGCTCGCTACATCAAATAAAAAGCATCATGGAACTGGTGGATCAAGATCGTTAGTGAAATGGAATAATCAGGAGATAGATTATTTTACCTTATGTGCAGTAGCGGGTATCGACGCACATCACTGGCGATGAAATTTGACCAAAAGTCCACAACAATGGTTTGATCGCTGATCTTTTGGTTTGGTAGTAGTACGGTATTTTGCGGCGAACTCATCAAAAGCTACGTGTCCGTAGCATTAGTTCGCGACGAAACCAGATATATGGGGTTGGATTAGACCGCAAGGGCAGCCGGATATGACGAGCTTGTGTATATTATATTTTCACGCCAAGCGAATCACGGTACAGTTTCAGTTCATTAGGCATGCACTTTCGTGCGCCGGTTTTGACTGTTCATCTGAATGGGGCAGTAGGATGAAAGTAGAGTCGAAGAGAAATAGAGAATTTCGTAGGAATAGGGTTGCGTAGAAATTGGGGAGATGCAAGAACGCCGTTGTTTGCAACACAGCCATATCATCTAGTGTCTACCGGTTACAATCGTCCAGGGATCCCCAACGAGGGAGTCTAGCGCGATTTTTATAACCAAGTCTCCTGGTTACGGTTTTCATACCCTATTATCTGATTTTGACCGCCCTTGGCTTTTTTCCACTCAATACCTGCCCCGGAAACCATTGCGCGCCGTCGTAATCTATTCGGTGACATGCGTACCACAAACCAACCAACGTAATCAATGGGCGACCTCGGTTAACTAAAACTTCAGCATTGCTTGTCCGGTTGCCCNCCCATCAGATTCGTGTAATGCTGCATAGACAGCGATCTATCTTTTTCCTGTTTTCTTAATGACCAGGTTTCCTCACCGTATGGCAGAACTGCCGCTGCATACACTCCGCTATACACCCAGGTGTCGCGCTTGCGCTAGGATGCCTTGAGTTGGCAAATGGCAACCGAGCCTTCTGTACGCTTCTTGGTTCGTTTGGAATCAGTGTCTTCGGCTAACCACCAGGTGAAGCACCAGTGCTTTACCAACTCGAATATTGGCTCTCCGTTCTACCACTTTAGCGGAAAAACTGCAACGTGAAGGTAGTGTATAAGACCACCACAATGAGACTGCACCTTGACGTGGTGTGATGGCTTACGTACCTCAGTGACCCTGCGAGCTACACAGGATGGCTTCTCACAGCCGTATATCCAATCATGCCCTAAAGGTCAACGGGCAGAGGCCAGACGAAGCTCAGTCTCACAAAGCCAGCTGCTTGGGCACCTGGCTTCCTTCCTCCTATCCACACTCGCCCCTGGAGAGGCCACTCCAGCAAATAAACACGGTGAGGGGCAGTTTACCGGTCAAAAAATCCCCGCTAGATGGACGTAGGAGCGGGGTACCTGGGGCTTCCTCTCGACGGTGGGAGAAGTCTTTGCACTTCATAGAATAGCTGCCGCCCACCCAAGCTGGACAGCTCCCAGCCAATAAGGTGCTGTCCCGTCCACGTTCCGCTTGTCTCATTGGGTGCATGAGGCAAAGGGCTGATCCCAAAAAGCGGACCGTTGAGCGACGCACCAGCGAACAACTAACTTGACCGAAATTCAAAGGCCTTGCGTGACAGGTCTCCAGAAGCTGCCACTCGGGTGCTTCGTTCACGCTCCCGCCTTGAATTTACGCCCCACTGCCTTGTGAGTCATACTCTTGAGTCAAAGGCTCCGGTTAGGGTTCTCAAAGAAAAACCCCTTCGCCGGTGTGGGCTACCGCGAAGTATGTCTTGCCCTGAAGTCTTGAGCATCCATTTGGACAACCATCTTTCCCATCTGTCCAGTTCTCAACCCCGAATAATCCCAGATACCTCCTGTTTACGCCACCCATCGAATATCGCTCAGCGTTTTATCATCGAGGCCAGACAATCAGAAGCTATAAGATTTTTAAAGCGAAAATCCCGTTTTCACTCAGTCGCGTTCAATGTCCGCACGCTCTATCAGATTGGCCAACAAACTGCCCTGGCTAGAACCCTCGAAACTTTCAATTTAGTTGTGTGTTGTCTCCGAAACACGCATACAAGCCCCCACTTCGATTATCTCTGCGTTCTCCTGATCCAACCTCGACCTCACGCTTCACCCTCCGTGTATCAGGCGATTCGGCATCCGAAGCTCGCGATGTTGCTGGTGTCGGGATTGCGCTAAATGCCGAGGCTGAGCGTTCGCTTCTTGACGATTCCAGTCAGTAGCCGATTGTGCGCTGTACGTCTCCGGTTCAGTTCGAGTCAGCAGCTACAGAACGAAGCGTCGATGTTTATTCGTCGTATCGGCATATGCACCGACCGATTGCAGTATACCTGAAATCAAGGATGAATTCTACAAAGATCTTTCTCAACTACTCCAAAGTGCTCGATCAACGAACGTCGTGGT